GAGGGGGGGGGGGGGGGGGGGGGAAGGGAGACTAGCTGACTGTGTTCTCTCCTGATAGAATACTAGAATACACAGATACTGTGAAACCATCCTGAATGGGAGCATCCTATGGCGTAAACATGCCTGCTGGCATTCTCTCCAGGTGACACTTTCTGAATATGCTTCCTTTCCTAAACTATTTTGAAATGCATGCATGCTAACATGCTTTCTAGACAACATCCTTGTTACAGCTTTGGTGATAAAGGCCAGCATATAAGAGGAATTTGAATTTCGGTAGATTTGTTTTTCCAATCATCCTTTATGTCTTCTGTAAATGCCTTACGAATGGGAAATAATAAGAGTATATTCCTCTGTGAACCAAATTGTGATACTGAAAAGTAAAGAGAGGAATGTGCTCATTTAAGAAAACCTCCATCTGAGTCTAATGACAGTGGATAAAGAGTCGGCACAGTGATCGATGCAGCACAGCTTAGTCGCTAACAACTTGGGCTTGTAAGCTCCAAGGAATTTTAATTGCTTTTCTAGGCTGTTTGTTGTATCTCTGGTGCCTAAAAAGCACCCGCTACATAGAAGATTCTCTGCAAATATTGAGTAGATCAGATTTCATGTAGGACAGACGTTTTGTTGTCAGTTGTGGCCTTACTCCCTGGGTGAACCAGGATAAGAGGAGCTTTATTTCCTCATCTCTGATTGGAGACCCACCTCACACGACAGCGGGACTATTAAAGGGGAGAACATAAGTCAAATGCCTGACTTAGTGCTCTGGACAGAGGAAGAACTCAGGCCCTGTTTGTGGTGGTTGTTATTACTGTGATAGTTCACAATGAGGTTATGGTCGATATTTTCTCCCCAGTCCAATGAGGGTGGCACGCCTCAAGGCCGCACGGGCATGCTACATGAACACAGTACCCCGCCCCCGCTCCCCTGCTAGGAAGGGCGGGAAACAGCTGCTAACAAATGAAAGTTCTGGAAGCTCTTTTTTTTTTTTTTCTAGAGCTGTGCAAAATTAGAGTGCCTGTGCACATATCTATTTCTATACAGAGGCACTAGAATGAGTGGAGGTCACCCCTGAAGGTCACCTAGCCTTAGAATCCTATGAATCTATTCAGTACACAGCATAGCCAGGGATGTGAGGTCATGCAGATGTATGTCAGCGTGCTTGCCAAAACTTGTCCAGATTAAGAGTCCTATTTCATCTCCCTCCCACTGAGAAAATTCTGAAAGGGGAGCATGTTTATATTCGTCTTGCTTTGCCTAAAACAGTGGTTCTCAACCTTGGCTGCAGATTAGAATCACCTGGGAATCTTTTTAAAATCCTGATTTCTGGGCCTCATCCTCCGGAAATTCTGTTTCTTTGTTATGGGGGGGGGCCACAACATTAGTAACAAAGAAACAGAATTTCCGGAGGATGGATGAGGCCCATCAGGATTTTAAAAAGATTCCCAGGTGATTCTAATGTGCAGCCAAGGTTGAGAACCACTGGCCTAAAAGCTGACGTTGCTGATTGACCGAATTGTTGGCTGGGTGGAAATGCAGACCCACACGGGTGCTCTCTCCCTTCATTCTGTCCAAGCAGATGGAGCACTGAGTGGATTTGGAGAAAGGAAACCTCTGCTTGTGCCCCGCGGTCCCAGTTCACCCCAGCACGGCCTAGCGAGCATTTCTCGTGTTGCCAACGTCAGACATGACTGACCTGTAGCCAGACTTACCTTTTCTCGCACCGACTCCCCGGGAACCAGCTGAGGCTCGATGGTGATGAACAGGGTGATGTAGGAGCCTTCGCTGAGGCTGCGGACAGAGTCAAAGCCCCGCTCGGTGATCACGCTCCGCTCCTTACTGTAGCCCAGGAGAACAGGGGGGATGTCTATTTTAAATGTTCCATCGATCTGTGCAGAAAACACGACGTGGTAAACATCCCGGTCATTTGCCAACAGACGCTCAAAAGCACGTGTCGATTCACTGTCTGATGAATTCACTAAGGACTGCTCAGACTGGCATTCAGGGTCGCCCATCATTCCAGCCAGTCTCTCTCTATCTTTTTTTTAAATCCTCACCTGAGGATATTTTTTCCATTGATTTTTAGGGAGAGTGGAAGAGAGAGAGAAAGACAGAGAGAAACATCGATGTGAGAGAAACACATCGATTTGTTGCACCACCAGGGCCCAGGTCGGGGAGGGCCTGCAACCGAGGTATGTGCCCTTGACCAGAACCAAACCCCGGACCCTTCGGTCCACAGGGCGACGCTCTAGCAGCCGGTCTCCCTAAGCGTTCACAGAAAGCACTGCCTTTTTCTTCACCTTTTCTTGGTTCAGCAGAGTGTGGGCGAGTTACGCATGTTGATACTAACGCTGGGTGTCCTGGGTTCACAACCTGAATTAAATTCCGTGTCTCAATGTATGCGTTTGTAAAAGGGCGATGATAACAGTAACTAGTCTGCAGGGCAGTTGCGTGTGCCGGATGCTTTAATGGATGTACAGCACTGACAAGAATGCCTGGCCGGTGGTGAACTGCTCAGGAGGTGTTGGCTAGCAGCCACCCCCCTTTCCCGGATACCCCAGCCTCCCATCTCCACCTTGCAAAATTGTAACGATTTTATGTTATCGCCTTCATGAATTATTTTGTCATCTCCGCCAGCCTCACACGTAGTTTGTTTTCTTCATTTGTCACACGGGCACATTCTGTCAGACTTTATAGTTGTGAGCATGTTTACGATGCTCCTCCAGATGTTTGCTCTTGGTGAACAGAATCCGTAATCCACTCCCTGTGTATCACCCTTCTCCGATATACAGCAGTGTTTTGTGTATACAGCGGATACCCAGTAAATGTGGGCTGAATGGATTATAAGCCACTTTTATAACATGACCTAACCGTGCAGAGGTTCAGAGGGGCAGGACTTTTACCTCTTGCATTGTCCAAGCGACAGTATGTTTGTTAGACTATCTAGTGCTAAAGCCAGTTCAGGGCTGGAATGTGAAGGTATAGAATTCACATTTTTGTTTCACTCTTCAATGGCATTTGTGTCTCAGGAGAAATAGGGAAAGGGCTTAACATAGAAGTGGACATGTCTTCCAGGGAGGAAGGGACATTACCTGGATATAGTCAAGGAGATTCATCCATCAAGAAAGGGTTAGCATAATCTCTTCTGAGTACTCTTCCGAATGTGAAATTCGGCAGTGGCCAATCACTTGGGCAATTTCGGTTGCAAAATGATGGGCTTTAAATTTTTTTTTGTAATTTAAAATATATTCGAAGAAGGAAATGTGAATTCTTTTGGCCAGCATGTCACGGCAGCGTCACCTGTAGACTGTCCCTTTTTTCTGGGGAGGACTGTAATTCCAAATGATCTATGAGACTGCAACCAACCCAGGCCTCCCAGGGTTGAGGATTGGTCTTGGCCTTGGCCTTGCTGGACTCTGTGGCCCAGGCAGTATTGCTCTGCGACCTCGTCGCCTGGGGAATTAAAGCCTCCTTCCTTAGCTGTGCGAGATTAGCCACAGTCTCGTGGCTCAAAGCCTCTTGTTGCCATGGACTCAGTGCTGGGACATTACAGCCACTTCAGAATCTTTAACTGTCCCAGATTGGAGGCAACAGGTCATTGAAGAGTTGTTAACCTAACGGATCCCTTTAGAAAAATTGCTAAACTCTGAAGAAGGATGTCTTAGCTGAGTGAATCTCTATTAACCATTCTCCTTGTTTGAAATGGTGAGGACTCTAGAAACATTCATGAAACACACGTGACTCAATGGGCTGTCCAGTGTCCTGACTGATTTCTTCAAGTCACTTCCCGGCATCTGTCCATTACACTTTGTTGCTTTTACAAGTTTCCACCTTGTTCCACCTTCTCCTTCACTTCTATTTAAATGTTTTTAAAAATCTCAGATTGGAACAGTCATATATTAACAACTAACTCTAACGAAGATGGATATTTAATAAGGGGCACAAATATGACAGAAAATCAATGCCTTTATATAGTGTTTTTTATGTTTCCCAGGGGGCTTTGCACGTAGGCTCTCTCAGGGTTGGCGGTACATACCCACAGAGAAAGTTTAACAGGAAAATGGATAGAGCGGTTCCCCATTCCCACGGTATTCCAATGCCAGATGCTTACCCTTGCTTGGCAATATATTGTGCTAAATGGAATTTTCACACATCCCAACCAGTGTCTCTCAATACGCGTGTGGATTCCACTTCCTCTTTCCCGGTCATCCTAAAGGAGGGGAGGGTAGTAATAATCAGTTAAGAACTCCAAACGCTCATTTTGCAGTAGGATTTGGACTGAAAGTACGTGGGCTTAGGTTAGGCTGACCTAAGTCACATTCTGGCTCAGATGCTTAATGGTTTTGTGACCCAAAGAAAGTCTGAACCTCAGTTTCCTCACTAATAAATTGGAGATATAACAGTCTATGTCACAGCATTATTTTAGAGTTAAATAAGAAAAGATGTATGAAGAGTGCCTGGTACAATTCCTGGAACACAATGGACACTCAACCGACAATAGAAAAGCTAGTGCCCTTTCTCTCTTTCCCCATTTATGATGTCAAGTTTCAGACATTCAAAATACAAGAAAGATGGACAATGGGTTCGGGTCTTATATGGTGGATTGAGGATGTGAGAATGAGTGCAGACATCTTCCTGGAACGGTGAACTCACCTCTAAGACATCGAACAGCACTTCATCAAAAATGTTAATGAACACGTCGTCTTTCACTGACTGCAAGCTGGTCGTGCTGTAGTCCCCATTGGGGGCCCTGCAGGTGGGCACACGTGACCAGGGGACAGGGGAATGGAAAAAACAGAAATAATGAGCACGCAAACATCAACATTTAAAAAGTGCTCAAACACGAGCACAGATGTGAAGATTGGAAGCTGTGCTTTCAGTTAAAGCATTTGTCTGCACAGGGTGGATACCATAGCATAATGCCTGTATATAGCCAAACAGAAAGGGACTAAACCCTCTGTCTGCTGTCCATCACCATACTGTTGGCTGTGTGTGTGTATATATATGTGTATATATATATATTTATATATATATTTTTTGCTTAATTTATTCACCTTTTTCACCCAGCCCCCCGCAACCTAACCCCTTCCCCTCTGATAGCTGTCAGGCTGCTCTCTATCTATGAGTATGTTTCTATTTTCTTTGTTAGTTTGTTTATTAGATTCCACATTGGAGAGAAATCAAATGGTATTTGTCTTTCTCTGCCTGGCTTATTTCTCTTAGCATAATGCTCTCCATGTCCATCCACGGTGTTGCAAAAGGTAAGATTTCCTTCTTTTTTAAATGCCTATGTATTTCTGGTAAGAGAAAAGCATAATTTCTGAAAATGAGAGAGTCTCAAATTTACTTAAATCTTCCAGAGTTGGGGAGACAAGGAAGAAAGGAGAAGCAGTGGAGGGGCCGCGGGTGAAGGGGAGGGGAGGCTTGGGCGATAAGTAGGCAGAGCCTGGAGAGGAGGGTGGTGTCCCGCAGTGAACCTGAGTTTCACAAGCTGGACATTTTCCCACTTTATTATTTTTTTAAATCCTCACCCAAGGATATTTGTTCCATTGATTTCTAGAGAGAGTGGAAGGGAGGGAAGAGGAAGAAAGAGAGACATATCTATTGGTTGCCCCCCGCAGGTACCCCTACTAGGGCTGGGGAACCTGCAACCGAGGTATGTGACCTTGACTGGTAATTGAATCCCTGACCCTTTGGTCTACAGGCCGACTCTCTAACCACTGAGCAAACTGTCTAGGGACCCACTTTATTCTTGATTGGAGTCAGTTGTGGCACATGAGGGAAACCAAGGGACTTGGTGTCAGGACACCTGGTTCTTGTTTCAGCTCATTAGCTGCACAAACTTTCACCTCAGCCATTTCCCTCTGAGCCCCTGTTTCCTTCCCATCTCTTCAAAAATATCCTCTAGTGCAGTGGTCGGCAAACTGTGGCCCCTTGAGTGTGGCTCTTCCACAAAATACCATGTGCGGACGTGCACATACAGTGCAATTGAAACTTCGTGGCCACACTCAAGGGGCCAAAGAGCCGCATGTGGCTCATGAGCTGCAGTTTGCCGACCACTGCTCTAGTGCTTTAAAGAGGACCAAGTGCTTACCTAAACGGAAGTTCAAGTTCTTCGTTCCAGCTGGGGTTTGGTCCTTCGGCCGTCGTGGTATGGCAAATTGTTCGTTGAAAAGAGACTTCTACAAAAGGACGTACTAAAACCTTAAAAGCAAAAGCAAATTGTAAGAGTCCATACAGTTAGTTGAATTATTTTGCTCTTTGTGGAGGTGGAATATGTTTGCTAAATAGTATACGCCCAAAAAAATGAAGCAGAAAACAGGCCAGGAAGTTTCCAGGCAATTGTTAAAAACATAAGGGGTGAGATTCTAAGCAGAGACCCGGCACTGGGGCATCTCACCTGGCCAAGGGGGTAGTCGGCACTGTGGGTTGGGCTGTGTGTGGTTGGGGAAGCAGCGTGCCTTTCCCTGAAAGTTCTTGAAGACCTTGATGGCTGCTGGAATTTGCTAGGAGGGAAAATATATGAAAAAAATAAATGACAGAGAAAGACTAACTATATATATTGAGCAGATGGTTATTCCAAAGATGCATGGCTCTGGTGACAGACATTCTCGCTAAGCTTGCTGACCCTTTTGGAAAGCTTTTCATATGCTCTGGTCACCCCCAGTCACCCAGTGATCACTATAGACTCCCCAACTTCTATCCCTAGACCCACCTGTATAGCTAAGAACAGAGGACAGAGTCCTATTCTCTCTCCTCTGCGAGGGGGTGCCTGAGTGAGAACTTGCCCTTTCCCCATAAATGAACCTCAATCCCTCTCAGGTAGCAGAATCCTAAACTTCCTGACCAGCCTTCTTCGTCTCGATCTAATTCCTCTCCTACTATATTTTCTTTAAACCTGCCTTCTCCAGGAACCTTGAGCTACAAATTCTAAGTAAACACTTCTCTGGACCTCCCAAGCCTCACTGGGAAAGGGCTGGGGTCATGTATTCCTAGCTTGAGTTAGGAGCCATGGATCTTGTTGTCTTTCTCTTTTAAAGAGCTGCTATTCTTTTTAAAAAATATGTTTTTATTGATTTCAGAGAGGAAGGGAGAGGGAGAGAGAGAGAGATACAAGCATCAATGATGTGAGAGAATTATTGATCGGCTGTCTCCTGCACATGCCCCACTGGGGATCGAGCCTGTAGCAGGGGCATGTGCCCTGACTGCGAATCAAACCATGACCTCCTGGTTCATAGGTTGATGTTCAACCACTGAGCCACGCTGGCTGGGCAAGAGCTGATATTCTTAAAGAAATGAAACTCATCTCCAGAGAGCCCCACCTAGGTACCTTTCCCTTCCTCTCCCCTGAGAAGCTGATGCTTGGTGGGTGGTACCCTGGCTGGATGGACCACTTCCATCACACGGAGAAGAAGGAAGCAGACCTAAAGAGGGAAGCAAGCAAGGGAGACGATGGGGCCTCAGAAGAACCATCCTAATCTTTACAGTCTACCCCTAGTTCAGCTGCACCTCTTGTCCTTGCATTCCGTGAGACAGTCCCAATAATCCCTTCTTTAGCCTAAATTGACCAAGTTGGTTCTATTACTTGCAACTCATGGGAGTCTGACTTTGGCCCCCACAGAATAACACTATGTTAGAAACAGGAGCACGTGTGCTATAGAGAAGTGATGGGCGTGGACAGGACCCCACACGGTCCATCCCAGGGCTGCCTGAGGGCTCTCACCTTGTGGTTGGTCTCCTCACAGGAATGTCATAGGCCCGGATGATGTTCACCAGCAGCTTTATGTCTCCATCGGACAGGTTTTGGGCTGTCACCTTCTTCCGACCTTTTCTCCTGGGCCTCAGGGGTCGCTTTTGTTCTGCCAGCTTGAAAAGGCTTAGGCCCAAAATGCTAATGATTACAGAACAGAATTAGGAGTCTAAGGAAAAGAAAGATCTGGAAAGTCACCAGACAACTCAAGCTCTGCCCCAAGGTCCCCTACAGGCCCCTGAAAACTGACTTTCTAAAAAGCGTGGAAATCATCAAGAAATTCTCCTAAGATGGGAGCGATCTTACTGTATGGATTATTAATATTTATTGTAGCTGCTACTGATCAGAGAAAGAAAAGGGTATTCTGGGCCCTACTTGAGTTTCCTGCCTTGCTTTCCTTCTTGCTTACCCTGCAACCCTTCAAACCACCCCCTTCTCTCCTACTCTCTGCCTTTGCCTGTCCCTGGTCCCTGCACAGGGGCACCTCCCTCCGCCTTCCTCCTCAGAGCAGGATCTCCCCTTTAGGAGCCCCGGGCACATCAGGTAGAAGGGGCTCCCACTCCTGGGCCCCTTGAGTACTTTCTTGATGCCCCATCTTCCTGGCAGCTGACTTTACTGCCCTTCCAGGCACTTCCTGGGATACCTCACTCTCTGGCGTTAGACAAGACTGGGTATGAATCCTGGCTGCACTTGCTCTTTGACCCTTTTAAGTCTCTGTTTTATCATCTGTAAAATGGGGTTCCATGCTATCTCCGGGTTGTTGAGAGGATTAGGTAAGGAGGTGCCTGCAGAGCACCGGGGCTCTGGTCCAGTACAAGCAGAGGTGACGTGCTAGGTGTGGGGTGATGACAGTAGTTATGACATCACGACTATGCTGGAGGAGGAAGGGAGATGGCAGGGGGAGCTTAAGGATCTCACATCTCCCTACCTCTCGCTGAGATGATGTCACATAAACACTTCCTGGAAGATGAAAGCAACATGCTCAGTGACTTATGGGAGAAAGGGCCCTGGAGCCAATAATTAAGTTGGGGCCCAGAGACTAAACAGAAGCCCAGATGTGGCTCTGAATCTGGAAGCTGACATGACTGATGACACCAGATGGCACAGAACAAAGGCCGTGGGGAGCTGGCCTCAGGCTGCAACACATGCTCTTCTGCTTCCCTCTGAGCAGGGCTGGAGCCCTCGGCCCAGGAGGCCCGCGCCAGCTGGGGAGGAGCAGCTCCCAAGGGCTCCCGGAGCTGCTGTTCCGTCCTTCCCAGGGTCTCTGCCCCACGGAACAGCAACCACTCATCAGCACCTTCGTGAGTCAGGCACAGTGCTAGGCGCCTTACATAGGATATTGCTAGTCCTCACAGGCATAACGTTTAACCCATTTTTCATATGAAGAAACCTGAGGCTCTGAGTGGTGACAGGATTTGCCAAAGCTCCTAACTAGGGGCAGGGAGCTGGGGTTCAGCCTGGGGTCACTCTGGCTCACAGCCCACCTTCTTCCTTTTAAACATTTACATCTATTATTTATTAACTCACGTAAAACAAGAACAAGTCCATTCATTCCATGTTAGCATGATGTACACTATGAAGGCTCACTCTCCTCTCCAAAACAAAATGTGAGAAGAGGGGCATTATTCGACATTTTCTCCAATCTCTTTGTGTGTGTGTGTGTGTGTGTGTGTGTGTGCTTGACATTTTCTCCAATCTCTTTGTGTGTGTGTATGTGTGTGTGTGTGTGTGTGTGTGTGTGTGATTACCTACATTTTATTATTCTAAATTTATTTTTATTGAGATGCAATTGGATGTAATGTTGTGTAAGTGTAAGGTGTACAACCTGTTGGGTTGAGGGGTCCATATATTTAAGTCTGATTCCCACCATGACATCAGCTGACATCTCTATCACGTCACATAATTGTCATGTTTTTTTTTGTGTGGTGGGAACAATTAAGATCTAGTCTCTTAGCAACTTTGAGGTTTATAACACAGTACTGTTAGCTATAATCACTATGCCGGGCATTAGATGGCCAGGACTTACTTATCTACTAGTTATAAATGTGTACCCTGAAATAACATCCCCCCAATTCCCCTACACCTCAGCCCTTTTTTCGATTCCACATGTAAGTGAAATCATATGGTATTTCTCTTTCTCTGTCTGGCTTAGTTCACTTTGCACAGTGCCCTCTAGGCCCACCCCTGTTGTCACAAATTACAGCCCATCTTCTTCAGCGCTCGCTCTCCCAGGACCTACCTAACCCAAACCTGGGACCTGAGAGGGATACCTGTGCCAGGGGCCCTAACATGACACATCCCCTCCTCTGGTAATACTGCCTCCCTCCCCCGAGAGGGCGTCTCCCAAAGTCTCGATGGCAGTCAGCAAGGGCGCATCTTGGTGGCTGGCACCACGAATTACAGAAACATTAGTTTAAAGCCAAGAACAAATCAAAATGAAAAGAAGAAAGAACATACCCCGAGCCTTCAGAACTTAATGCAGAAAGTAAAGCAGATAAAAAGAAAAAGAAATGGAAAAACAGCATGAAAAAAAAATCACCATCTAGTCTAAGTGTAATTTTCATGACTGAATAAAACATTCGATGACTAGGCTGTGGGCCTGGAGCACAGAGAAGGGGTTTGTGTGAATCGATGTGGGCACAGCCTCTCTACTGTGCGTGGAGGGAGGCAAGGTCAACGTCAGGGATGGCCCTGGACAGCACAAGGTTTTGTCTCCTTTCCACCTTGACGTTGGAGAGGAAATACACGCATAAGAAATAACCTTTTTAGGAGGCCAAGAGATTCAGTCCCAGGAAGGGTCATGGGATTAATGGACTGCCCAAGACCACCAGTGGAGAAAGGTATCTTCCATCTTTTGTGCATCCACCCCAAGTTGAGACAATTTGAAATTTTTTTCTAAGTGATAGTAAGACAATCACTCATATACACGGTCAATTTCCAGTTTCTACGTAAACACCCATTTTCCCCACTGCCCTTGGGCCTCACCAAACACAGCAGCTCTCTCCTCACAGCCTCCCAGATCTCCTGGCCTCCCAGACCTCTGTGGCTGGTTCCCAGCTACCCCACTGCCCTGTGATGGGAGAGTAAGGGAAGTTGGCATTGGGAGGAGTGTGTGCAGGAGGGAAATGCTGTCAGACTTGGATTGCAATGAGCAAGTGGCAAAGGCTCAACCATTGTTCCATGCACTGAAAGGTCACCAGTTCGATTCCCTGTCAGGGCACATGCCCAGGTTTTAGGCTTGATCCCTGGTGGGGGTGCTTAAGGGAGGCAACCGATCTAGGTTTCTCTCTCTCTCTCTCTCTCTCTCTCTCTCCCCTTCTTCTCTCTCTCCCTCTCCCTCCCTCAATACCTAAAAATCAATAAAAACATATTAAAAAATAATGGCAAAGCCTGGCAAAGCTGACGTGGCAGTAGTGGGAAGGGAGACAGGATTCCTGGGCCCATGATGGAGAGGATCTCGTGTGACTAATAAAGACCCTCACCTAATGCAATCGTAAGGCATTCATCAAGCTTTATCCGTTTCCAGTGTTATTTGTGGCCCAAATGCACACTAAACAATGATAAGCATCTTAGATTTACATGAAAATTTTAATATAATGCAATAAAAATAATTTTTAGAAGGAACAAAAGTTTGCTTTTACCTGATATTGGGAACTTCTTCTTCAACTATCAAATCCGTAAGAAGAAAATGGTGTTTTGCAATTAGGAAACGATTTAACACAGATTCCCTAACCTGGGGAAAGAAAGAGGTTTTATTTAAAATGTTCTCATTCTAGGACCTTCATAGGTCCCTCCGAGACTTCTCTGAGTCTTCACCCCAATGTCAGTTCAGTGCAGCCCCCACCGGCACCCTCACTTTCTCCTCAGCATGACTTCTTCTTACTGTAAATCACCCGGCTTTGCTCACTAGTACAAGTTCCTAAGGCAGAGGGCCTTTGCTCTGCTCACCGCCCGATTCCCAGGACCTGGAAAAGTCCGACACACAGGGAGTGAAAGCGTGCTGAACGGAGGAACACACAAAAACTAGGCCCCATCTCGGAGCACAGGCAATTCCGACGTGATTCTTGAGGTCCTCCCCTATTCAGACTGGTTTACTTCCTAATACTCCTTTAAATAAAGGACCTCTTAAATGTTGTAGTCACAGTAACCTTTCTTATAAGTTAAATTTATTACAGAAAGGAAGGAAGAATGAGAGGGAGAACAAAAAGACACTTCAAGTTTCTAGTGCCTAGGGCAGAAAGTATGTCATTCACTCATTCATTCATTCATTCATTTATTTTAAATATATTTTTATTGATTTCAGAGAGGAAGGGAGCGGGAGAGAGAGAGAAAGAAACATCAATGATGAGAGA